CGGCCGCCCCCCGGGGTCTTCGTGACCGCCTTGTTCCTCTCCTCCCCCTGCCCGCACTCCCGCCGGCAGCTGCGGCAGTTCGTGTCCGGCAGCGAGGCCGCTGCCCCCTGCGAGCCGCCCGCACCGCAGGAGCTGGCCGAGAAGCTCCTGCCCAGGGCAGTCCGGGAGCTGATGGCAGAGCAGAAAATCACGCTCTACTGGGTGGACACTGCAGAGTGGCCCAAGGTATTTGGGGGAGGCTGTGCACCTCTGCACTGCTCATGGTAACAGGCCCTTTTCCTCCACTGCTGCCCGTTGAAGAAGGCAGAACGTGCGGCTTTCTGCCAAAGTCTTGAGTGGGAGCAAGAGGGGTCAGGTCTCCCTTAGCTGTCAAATATGCTGTTCAGTAACAGGCCAGAACTGGAGCAGTAGCTCTCCCTGTGGAGATTAAGATGCATCAGCCACTGAGCGAGTGCAGGTGTTTATTGATGGGTTGTCCTGTGTTTTCAGTTAGGTGGGAGCTATAGCTGTTCAGGACAGGGAATTATCAGCCTGACAATTCAGATGCCTAGATATTAGATGCAGGAATATGTGCTCAGAGATAATGGCTGCATCTCAATTCAATGTGCACAGTATTTTCTTTATTCCTAGGAGGGCTAGTTTACTCCATAAAAACTCTGAAAATGTTTGAAATGTGCTGTGTGTATTTCTTATGCCAGTTCCTTTAAAAGCCTGTAATCTATGTTCGTTGCTTGGCTAGAGATCTTCTGACTGCTAACTAATTTGAGACTTGCCTGTCGCTTTATTACAGCTGCTCGAATCTCCAGATCATGTTGGATACTGGACAATGTTTGAACTGATTCACCAGATGGGAGGCACCATTTTGTCATCTGAGATCTTGATGCAGTGTCTGAGTCACCACAGAACGGATCTTGCTCATGGCTTTCTTGGAGATTCCAGTTCCTCCATGCCATGGACCATGCTCCTGCCCTTGGACTCCACCTTGAACTTCTTGTTTTCGAAGCCCTCCGCGTTCCAAGCAGTTTTCCCCCAGCAAGAAGGGAGGTTGTTTCTCGGCATGCATGGTAATAAGATGTGGTACTTGGGTATACCTAGAAATACGTATGATTTGTTGTTGCACAGGGGAAATCCTTGATGTATTTGCCTTATGACCAGCATGATTGAGATAATTAAGACTGAAGTAATGTATATTAAAGAAAAAAACCCAGTCTTAAGTGTGTTCCAGTGCCTCTGATAGGACAGCTATTGGTCTGTATTCTATTGGTTTGTTTTCCATTTTTCTGAGAAGTCTGGGTGTATGAACAGTTCTTTTTTGGTCCCATCTTCCTGTACAGGATTTTCTTCCATGTGCTTTATCTCAGCTATTTTAATTTGCTCAAATTAAGCAGGTAAATGAAAAGCACCTTCAAAAGAGAGCAGATCAGCTTTAAAGGAAGATGCATAGTCTCTTTCTTTAGTAGTCCCTTGACTCTTTAGTAGTCAGCTTTTTTGTGAGAGCTTGAGGAGGGCGGTTATTGTACATTTACTATAGAGCTACTTACTGTTTAACCTCAGATTTATTTTTCTTTCATTGAAGTTGTCTCCTCATCTAGAGGAAAATTGCTTTGCGCGTTATTTGCACGTTCTATAATATTCAAATAATGATTTTCAGTTTCATCTTAACCTTGCACAGGAAAAGAGAAGCAGGAAAGCTGTGTGGTGATCCTGGAACCCCTAGCCATGGGGCAAAGGCAACAACAGCATCCAGTCAATATCTTCCTGAGAGGTACCTTAACAGGTTGGAATTTGATGCAAGCTAGCAACTTTCTTGGAGAGAGCTGGATATTGTGGAGTTCCCAGGCTGAACAAGCAGAACAAAACAGGTCACTGTTTCATCAGCTCTTATGGACTCTAGTGACTGAAGAACTTCACATGGTAAATCTTTCTGTCTGCCCTGAACCAACGTCTATTCCGAAACAGGCTGTTACACAGTAATAGTAGTATTTGTTATACTGTGAATTGCTCATTTGGGTCTAAGGTTAGAAGCATTTTTAGAAAACTGAGTAAGTTTTAAGCTGTCTATGAACTACCTGAGATCTCTGGGGGTTATTAGGCAATGCAAACATTCCTTTCTTTCCATGTAGGTTGCTGAGGTGTCTCTATCCCCAGCTTCATGCCCCTGCACTGCTGTCCTGTCGCCGCTTTCTGCGAGTACTGCAGTTCTGCTCATACTGTGCTCTGAGAAGGCAGCTGAAGCTCAGCGGTGCAGCCTGGAAGGAGCTGTAGTGCAGAGCTCTTGCGGAGAGCGTGCATTTCACCTCCCAGATATTGTGAACAGCGTCCTGAGTGAGACTGACACATCGGTGGAAGAGTTACTGACTAGCTCTGGTAAGCACTGGAAATACAAAACTTATCTCCTTTTAATTGTATGTAGATCTGAGTTGGAGGTCACTTAAAGCTAATGATTTCCTCGGTGATTTTTGGTGCTTGTTTGTTTTGTCTTCTATATCTCAGAGCTGGTTTTGTGACTGGGAGATCTGCAGTGGTGTATCTTTCTGTTTCAGTGACAGATCTTTGGTTTCTGTTAGCTTTTAGGTAAAGCACAGTTTCTTGTGCTTGGTGACCAGCTTTTAGGAGGGATTTTCCCGGAATGTGTCCCCTAAGCAATTCCTGGCCAGCAAAATTTTGGATGTGACTGCAGAGACACTAATCTGTGGCCTACTTTGCAGTATAGAATCTTCATTATAGTATCCCAGCCTGGTGTTTTGACTATTAAATTTTCCCTGGGATCCAAAGTTTTGGAACTCTGAGCTTTAGAGGCTCAGTGAAGGCCAAAGCTTCTATGCTTTCACGTAGTTTCATTATGACTATTTTCCTCTGTTCAGAAGAAACTCCTGTGCCAGAGTGGGTCCAACAGGAGCTGTCCCGTACGGGACGCTGGCATCCTTCAGTGCTTGAAGCATGGTATCCTTCCTCGAACGCTTGTGGGGCGAGTTCAGATCTGATGGAGTCATTCAGGTATTTTTCTGAAACGTGTCTGAGTAATGGTCAGAGACTTTCTGCTTCCTGTTTAGTGAGCATTCAATTATAGAACGGAAGGCTTCTCTTTGCATTCTTATTTCTGAGCTAAGTTTGCTATATACACTGAGATATAATGAAGCAAAAGTGTAAAACAAAAAGGACATGGGGTGCCTGGGTATCTGCTTGGATTGAAGTGCTGACCACTTCACGAGTGGTATGTGGTTTTAAAATTAGCCAAGGCATTAAGACAAGTGATAAGCTTATGTCTTCTTGTTGGGTAAGATGTGAGATGCCAAATGTAGCTGCTTTCCCAGCTGGAGCTTATTAGCAAGTTCTTTGAAGAAAGCAGGCTTAGCATATAAAAACGACTAAGGCAAGAAAGTTTAATTTGCACAAATTTTCTTCTGCACGTTCCTGTCATTGGTCAGTGGTGTACCTATTCCACATGGAGAACTTAGACTTGCCTTTGGTCATTCTAAGAGTTGTGGGTGGGGAGGGTGTGGGTTGTGGGCTGCTCTATTTTGTTTTTCTTCCCCTTTTTATTGAGTAAGATCTGGGGGAGTGAGGACCTGGAAGACTGCTAGCGTGTGTCACTTGCGCTGAAGAGCTGAATTGCCAACTATAGAAAAACCAGTTACTGTGCAGTGAAATAACAGGCATGTCCCCTTTTTTTCTCTCCTTTTTGATACCCGTACTGATTTACTTTATCATACCAGGTTGCTGCAAGCTAATTCAACTAATGAGAGGGATGATGCCCACCAATCTGAGGTGGAACTTTCAGAAAGTCTATCTGAGATGTACCAGAGGAAATCCAGTGATGTATCTGCCACAGTTGGACCAGGAAATAAGAAAAGACGTATGTGTAATTTGGAAGTGTGCATGCTGCCTTTAAAGATGATAGAGAATTTCTCAACAAGTTCTGTTAACATAAGTACTTAAAATTTATAATCTCTTGAAGAATGGCGTGCTTCCATGTTGTGGCTTTTTTTGGTTATTTCAGACTCATAATTATTATAGTTATTTGGGTTGTGCTAAAGGACAATGCTAATCCTTAAGCAATTCAAATGCACAGAGTGTTTAACAAAACAGTTAGAAAGCAGTGTGCAGAGCTTTGCAGTTTCATTAGCTGTTGGGGTAGAGGCCCCTGCTGTTGCTACTAAATATTTTAGCATTTCTGCTCTGTCTCTGTCTGATGATAAAGATCTCTTTTTGTGGCCTTGCAGGTGGGGTTCCCCGAACGCCAGTCAGACAGAAAATGAAGACCATGTCCCGCTCTCTGCAGATGCTGAATGTAGCAAGACTGAATGTAAAAGCTCAGAAGTTTCACCCTGATGGTGTGCCATCAGCAGTGAATGAGAAGGTCCCACAGAAACTTTCAGCAAAAAGACTGGATGAGAAGCTGGAAGAAAAGGAAAAGGCATTCAAAATGTCGATAGGTTTGTGTTACCAGTTCTGAAGTCTGTATGTGGCAGTTAAATGGGATCCTTATGGAAGGGAGAAGGAAGGAAAACAATGGAGTACTGGGAGCTATGCAGCAAACAGATGCTTTCATTTGTGTGTTCAGGTTGGCCCAGAATGATGATTATTCTGGCATTCTGGTCTGATAACACTAAAACTTTGTAAAGATTTAGTGTTACAATTACTTGGAGGGTTAGTATTCATGCCCTACCCCTGTATGAAAGAAACAATAAGGAACTGTTTTTTTACTAAAGGAAATAAAGGAAGCAGCCAGCAAGATGTAAGTGGAATGTAGTCCTCTTTATTAGTAGAGCAAAAATAAAGGCACTTTCTTGACCATGTTTCTTTGAGCCAAACAGCATCTGTGATGATGCTTCTTGTGCTGCTCTGTTTCTGTCCTCTGAAACTTTGGAGAGGACATGGTACCACTGCAAGAGGGAGTGGGTATGGATTTCAGTCTCAGTGCCAGGATTGAGGTTTTTATTTTCAAGTTCTGGAAATGAATTTTTTTACCCCTTGTTACACTATATAAGAGGTTAGACTTGTAGCCTAGACTTCATCAGAAAAAAAGACTGGTTATAGAAAGGAAGTGGTGGAAAGTTTTCCCGTGCAAATTGTTCTTTATTCTGACTTTGAAGGCCAGGATTTTACTTGCTGCTGAGACCGATTTGCCAAGGAGCAGGATGTTGCAGTAACATGGAATCTTGCTCTGATTGATTTAGGCTGGAGCTTACCTCACTTGCTGTGGATCTGCACCTTGGACTGCTTTTGTTAGTGTTCTGTGCTCCAGATGTGTCTGTTGTAGTGAAGTTGTGCTGCCTCTTTTTTTTTTTTTTTTCTCCTTAACACAAAGGGGGAAAAAAAGGAAGTCTTTAGCTAGAATGTGTTGTTTCAGTAAGCTGTAATGAATTGGCATTTAGCTAACAATTTTCCCATTACAGACTTCAAAACTGAGGAGGAACTGCTGTCCCATTTAATTGTAAGCTACCAGAAGGCTGTTGCAGAGGGAGTTGCTTCATTTTTGTGTGCCCAGAGTATGATCACAGCCATAAAAAGGTTCCTGAAAATACAAGATGCCAAAGAGAGAGAGGTAAGAAAGAGCATGTTAGCATGAAGATCAGATACACAGTATTTACATTGTAGAAGTTTTTGTGATTTGACTAAAATTTCATGGAAGGATTACTACTGAACTGGAAGTCAAAAATCTATTTCAGATTATTTTTATTTCATCTTACTGTAAGGTTTTATAAAGAGATGCATGTGACTACAGTTTTAAGTTATGTTATCAGAGTTCCCACAGTAGTGAAGGACTGCCAATAGTTGTAAAGAATTTAAGAAAATCTGCTCCAATTATCAGTTTTCATCCTGGCTAAAAGCTAGTGGTATGTGGTTTTTTTTTTTTTTTAACATGAACCTTGCTTTTTTTAACATGAACCTTGCTTTGAATTTGAATTTCATTTCTTGAAAGCTAGTATACTAAATAATGTGTTCTCTTAAGAACACATCTTAAATGTGTTTCTGGATTTGCTTTACATGGTTATCTTACATCTATTACTTTCTCAGAAGAGAGAGATGTGTGTTTGTTTTTATTTTCTTAATTTAAGAAATAGTTTTAAGAATTGAGGTTTGCTTGCTTTAAAAACCAAAATTGGTTAACTTGTGATTAATTGAAGAAAAAACTGAAAGGCAGATCCATAGTTAATTAAAATGTCATAGGCCTGCTTGCAGCTTCAGGACCTCTTTTTTTTTTTTCTCTCATTTCAAGCTGTACATTCTTTTGTTTTACCTCAAAACAACTCCACTACTGAAAGTGGAAGATAATTCCTTTAGGGCAAAGGGAAAAAATGAACTATATCAAAGAAAACTGAGTGAGTGTGGAAAAGAACCTGCCCTGTGGAGAGGAAGCATCTTTGAAGTCTTTGTAATTGTGTGTCTGCAGGTGGCCTGTGTAGAAAGAGTCAGAAGCCACCTACTGAAGACCAGCAAAACCCTCAGGCAACAGCATGGCTCAGAGAAGGAAACCAAAGTCAGAGAGTAAGAGACATTATCTACTGCAACTTCTAAGACACTATGGAGCTAGTTAGCAATTTTTACTGGTGGCTTTTTGTGCACATGGAAGGGTTTTTACAGTGGTAAAACATCCAGGCAGAATTTGTGGACACAGTAAAAACAAACAAACAAAAACTCTTTAAATGCACATGTATGTACTGTATGGTTGGCGTCACGGTGTTTATCTGAAATGAGATGTCTCCCCTGCCACCAAAGGCAAATACTAACCAAACCTGTGCTGTCAAAAGGAGCAATGTTTGCTGCTTTTTGAACAAGCCTTTTAAGATTAAATAAGCTGTTTCCATCACAAAAAAGGATACAGGTAACTACTATTTTTTCATGTAGGTGCCGACTGCAGGTATTTCTGCGTCTAGAACTGTGTCTTCAGTGTCCTTCACTACAAAGCAATGCTGATGAAATGGAACAGCTTTTAGAGGAAGTAAGTAAATTATAGACCTGTTTGTGTTTCCGGATGAGACCAAGAATGTAGACCTAGAAAATGCAGTTCTCCAGTAAGTAAATTATAGACCTGTTTGTGTCAGATGAGACCGAGAATGTAGACCTGGAAAATGCAGTTCTCTCTGCTTTTATTGTAGTGCTTTGTATTTTATGCCCAAAATCTGGTATTGGCAGCTGTCACAGTTTAATCCATTTTCCTGCCTGACACTTTTCTTCCAGATGACAGAGATGCTGCGTATTTTGTGTCTGACTGAAGACCCAGGATATCTTACAAAGTTTTTAGAGGAAATATTAACATCGTAAGTTCTTTAGAGTGACTAAGTATTATCAGGTAATGTGGTTTCGACTGGATATATTTTATGAATAAACAACAGTCTACAGATTTGATTTTATGATTTTTGAAAAGTTTGAATGTATTCTGCTTGTTATGCTTCTCTTGATTGAAGAGAGGGTGGCTGTTTAGCAAATAAAACAGTGCACTTTTAGGAAAAAAAAAAAGTTGAAGCTTAACAAAGATTTAGTTCAAAACTTGGAATTAAAACACTGATATGGCTTTATAGCATATTCTTTTTTGATATGGCTTATCTCTAATACTCTAGTTACATGGAATCTATTCCGAAGACCCTTGGAGATCTCTACTACAGTCTAGGCACGCAAATACCTCCGAAGCTGGCATCCGTGCTGCCTTCAGACTTCTTCAGCGACGACTCGGTGACACTGGATAGCAAGTCTCCAGCCCTTCCACGCTCTCTGTCGTCTGCCCTGACTCCCAGCACCATTTGCCTACTCACTGAGAGTGATCAGCTAGAGGAGCTGCGCACCCGATCTGCCAAAAAAAGAAGGTAACAATCCCAAATAGAAGGGCAGCTTGTTGCAGCCTGATGCAGGGCTGAAGAGCACTCGAAACCTGCAGCCCCTTCATTGTGGTGTTTATTCCTGTGTAACTAGGTGGGACAAGCTGATATTCATCAATAGTGCTGTATATCTGAGGGAGGAAAATTAAGGACTTTTTTTTTTAACTCCCTGTTGTTGATAATCTGAAAGTGTGACCTTGATTCTGTGTATGTATTCTCTACAAATGTAGAGTCCACGATCCTCTTCTGTAAGAGGATATTGTCATATGCAATGGATGACTGCAAATCATTAAAGTTAAGACTGCAGCTTATTGTAGGACTTTATGTTTCTGTGAACCTTATGTTCATCTTGAAGAATTTAGAAATAAGTTTTAATGCCTTCCTTAAAGTTACACTTGCAGCTGTTAAAACCATTGAAAGATGCTTGCAATATAAACAAGGTACCAACACAAAACTTGTGATCTGAGTGTAGGTAAAGATTTCCTATCTCTAGAGCCAATCCCCAGTTTAATTTGCCATATAAGTTAAAATGAATCAGAAGTGTAGTTAACTTTTTTATTTTTCTTTAACTTCCAAAGGAATAACGTATTAGCCAGGCACAGGAGCATGACAGAAGCACCACAGAACTTGCGTCAAATTGAGGTTCCCAAGATAGCAAAGAATCCCATCAGAAAGGTAAAGCTTTCCCAGAAGGGATTGTGTGGGGTTGCTCCTGCAGGTGAGCAGCAACATTTTGAAGTGAGCCTTGAGTGCAAAATCTTGCTCTTTATTCATCTTTTTCGTTTATAAGGGATACCTTATCACATGTATGAAAACAAAAACCATTTTGGAGAACCATAAGGCTAACTAATAAGTAAATATTTGGTTTGGAGCTTACTTTTGCATTCATTCATAGCAGTTGTAACCTTACACTGCCAGTGAGTCTAACTGCTCTTCTGTTTCAGGAGAACTCTCGTTCTTGTCTTGCCACTGAGAAACCCCAGCAAATGCCTTCGTTGCAGAAAGAAGCAGTGCAAGGTACGTTGACTTCTAGTTTTCCCATGGAAAGGTGCATCTTCAGCACATGTTGTTTTCCCTGCACATTTTAGTAAGCCACGATGGATTTGTGTTGAGAAATGCATGAGATCTGCAGGAAGCTCTGCAAAATTCTACAAAACTTTTAGGGAGGGTAAATAAGAGTGACTGTGCTGTTATGTACACTCATACATGCAGAAAACTTAACTTATCCTGAAGAGGAAACCTTTCAGTTCTTCTTTGAATCCAGAAATTATTTCTCTTCTCTCTCCCAGGGAAGAGGAAGAATTAAAATAAAAAAAGACAGGAGTTTGCTCCCAACTAACTGCCACTTTTTTTTTTTTTTTAATCCTTCCTTTATTTGATCATTTCTTGCTTTGTCTTTCTTCTTAGAGGTTACAAAGGTAAGGAGAAATCTTTTCAATGAAGATGTGCTTTCACCATCAAAAAGGTCCTTGAAGAAGAAGATGCCAAGAAGTCAGTCAGTATCTGCTGTAGAAGGCCTAAAATACAAATGCACTGATGAAGGTCCTAAAGGTAGGACATGAGTTCCATGTACAGGATTGCTGGGGAAGAGATTTTGCTAAAATTCCCATTCTTGCATCCTTGCTTCTGAAAAAACTAATTGCATTTTATTTTTAATGAAAGAGAAAATACTTTAGGTGAGCGCTGCGGTATTTGGATAATGACTAGTATGGTATTTATCTGTTATTGAAATCCCTACACCTCCAAAGAAAGTCCTTTAGGTTAAAAAGGAGCTGCGAATGAGAGAAGATATCAGAGTAGGTTAATTACATCTGACTTTATTTATTAAGTCTCTATTTTTATGTTGGCGGGGTGGGAGGAATGTAGACACGAATGCAGGGAGGATAATGCACAATGGTTCTCTATGGCCTTTCATTCTTAAACTGAAGCCTCTATGAAGGTTCACATTCACAGGGTGTTTTTTTTTTTTTTTTTCTCTTTAAGATCATCACAAGCTGTTGACCAAGAGAGTTGCAGAGACCCCACTGCATAAACAGATCTCCAGGAGACTGCTACATAAACAGATGAAGGGCCGGTGAGCGAGCTGTTTATGAATTTCCTCCTTGTGGAATCCAAACTGAAATTTAGCACTTCCATATAAGACTGTTAGCTGTGCTACAACTAGAAAGGCTCCTATGCCCAATGAAGCATTAGTGAGTGGGGAAATGCCTCATAATTTACTCAGTCGGAGTAACTCGCTAAACAATGTTCTGTTGTAGAATACAGCACTGCGTTTCAGTCTCTTTGGTGTTCTTTCCACAAATGTGAACAATATGCTGAGTCTAAAATGTTTGCTGTTTCTCAAGGTCATCTGATCCAGGTTCTGACACTGGTGTTGTAGAAGAATCTCCAGAGAAGACCATATGTGGTAAGCATTGATTTTTGATAAGGACTTTTGCTGTGATGCAGCTTGTAAGGGCACGTGTCATCTTAGATAACCCATAAGCAGGCAATATAAAAGCATTCTGTTATTTCTTTCTGGTGGAATACAGACAGCTCTGGTAGAACCACTCTCTGCTCACTGCTTTCGCAACCACTGTTGAGATTAAAGGTTGTAAAGATTAATAAGGAAAGGTAGAGTATTAATTCCTGCAACTGAAGATGCACAAGGGACTTCAAGGGTGAGCAAGCATCTTTTGAGAATTTCTTTCCATATATCTGTTAGAGAGATATTAGCATTCCAAATCTCCAAGGAAGTTGAAGGATTGTTGTGTTAGTTGTATTCACCAAAGTTTCTTCTTGGGGTGTGTGCTTGTCACTTATGAACCATTCCTGAAGATATTCCCACTGTTGACAGAGAAAGAAGGCTCAGTCTCTGATGCTTTTGCCTTTCAGAAACAAGTTTGAGAAGAAGTCCACGCATCAAACAACTCTTGTTGAATAGGACTATGTCTGGCATTTTCTCTTCTACTGCACAGTCCTGCTCACAAAATAAGCAGAAAGTCCATCCAGGACAAGAAGAGGAGAGCTGTGCTCAAAAGGATCTAGCAGGTACTGAACGGGATTTGAGCAGGCTAATACAGTTGGTCTGAAAAGCTGGTTATCAGTGAAGATCACTGATAAGTGATTTGATTTGGCTCTATGAGAAACACTTATGAGGCTAAGAGCTGTCAGGTAATGTCTGTAGACAGAGAATTGTCCCAGTTGATTATTTTTCAATTGGAAGCCTGAATATAGCAGAAAGAACAGCAGCTACTTCTATGATGAATACTCTGCCAACTTCAAAACCAGTCAGGCCCATCAAACAGCATGCAGACTGACAGTCTGCATGCTCTAAGTGCAGTGAAGTCCATGTGAAATATGGGAGAGATCCTAAAGCTACCTTCAGTTTCTTCTGTGGCAGCATAAAGCAAAGTCTGAAGCGATCTTTGTTGGCTTCCTTGCAGTAGGATTATCAGCTATAAATGGTGACACTTAGTTCTTTATAATATACCTACAAGGATCCTTAGTCATGAATCAGAACTCTTATGCTGTTTGCTATAAATAGAATAAAGCCTGGGATATTTTTATACTCTTTCTGCAGATAGCTTTTTTTCCCCCTAGAGAACTCTATTTATTCTTTAGATTGCAAAATATTAATTCTGGTGCAGCTTTAAAATTTGGCTAGAAAAGAATATGTCAGGTCTTGTACATTACCTGTCCATCCATCTGAAGTGACCGAGGTGACTGTTTGTGTCAGGTTACTCGCTGCTAGTTCAGCTGTGCTGTTCTACTTTACAGGCATTAAGGTGCATTCTGAAAGCCCTACTGTCCAGACTCCCAAGAGGTTTTTCTTTGGAGCAGTGATTGACACGTGTAGTCCTGTAACGAAGCTTTCACCTGGAAAGAGGAGAACGAGAAAGGATTCCTTAAACTTAGAGGACCCGATTGCCTTTCAGGTAAAAGCACTTGCTTCCTTTTCTCTCTCCTCTTCTTCCCACCTTCCCCCCCCCACCCCACCCCATTTTTCTTTTTTTCCTCTTGATGCCTAATCAATCCTACACATCATAAACTTAGGGGTAATTTGCGTAGAATCGCTAACCAGTTTGTGTTTTCTATTTCATTTTATTAAATCTCAATAAAAAGTATTGAGAGGAGTACATAAGTTGTACTGGAACATAACAAGCATGATCCTTCTCACTATTTTTTTTTCCCTTGCAGACTCCTAAAAAAGCACCCCGTAAGGCTGCTCAGAAACTATTGAATTCTGCCAGTAAACTACCAAGGAGATCACCTCGCACCCTCCACAGGACACCAGAAAAGCTGGAGAGGACTCCTGGCAGAAGTCCAGCTGCTAGACAAACTGCAGCTAAGTGCTTGGGAAAGTACTTTTCTCTTCCTGAACAACAGGTCACGTCACCAAGTGTGTCAACAGAAAGTAAGAGGGTTCACTTAACACAAGTAACTTCTAAGGATTGTTCTCCAATAAAAAGACTTTCCTCCTCTTGCAACGAAGTTGACCTACAAACACCAGAAAAGGAGGGGTTGAAAATGCTCGGTTCTTCTCCATTACCTCTGAAAGACTCAAATCCTAATCCTTCCTCCATGTTTACCCTCCAAGGAAGAACTTTTATTACAGACCTGCAAAATGCAGAATGCTCCCTGAGAGCTACCTCAGAATCAACCTCTCCAGTTGGCGCTCGGAGGCAGATCCTTCCAGAGGAAAACCAGACGCAGTCAGAATCAACGCCTGTAGCGATGGAAAGTACTCCCAGAAAACTTGAAGATTCAGGTTCAAAACTACATGCCAGCCCCTTGAGGGCAGAAACCTCACAGCTCGCTGTGAGGGAAGAGCCTTCCTTCAGTTCTCCTCCATGTGTAAGTTCCAGAAATGCTCTGGCAAGGAGCTCTCCTTTCCATGAACACACTAGGGAGTTTGCCTGGGAATTTAACACCCCTAAAGCAGCTCTTCCAAAATTGCCTGTCATTACTGGCACTTCCTCGAGGTCTCCCCTCCGCACACCTGAGCAGTCCAAATGTGAACCAAAATCTGGAGGAGAGAACCTCATGTTTAAATGTGTAACACCCTCCAGAACTAAGAATAATCAAAATGATAATGGCAGTGGGAGCTCTACTGGAGAAAGTGTACAGCTCTCTAATACCCAAATTATTGAAAATACCCCTATCTCAGAGCAAAGCAAACAAATACTTGTATTGCCTCAAAATCCCTTTGAAAGAAAGGACCAGAAAAGCTTGGAAAAGCATTTCTCTCCCAAGCCCTGTGCTGGAGGGCAGCTACATGTGTCGAATGCCAGTACAGAATGTGAGCAGCTGGTTAAGGCGAGTAACTCCAGTGCTGACACCTGTGAATCCTTCCTTCGTGATTCTCAAACAAGCAGTGATCACTTGGAAGCAAGAACTGTAAGACCAGAGCGTACAGGACCGAAAGCTCCAAGTCTCAGGAGACACTCGAGGTCGGACGTGGCTGCCTTCCCTGCCGTGCCCGGGGCTGCGGCCGCCTATTCCTTGCGCTGCACCGCAGACAGGAGGCAGCGGGAGGCCGCGGCGCGCCTGGGGAATCCTGTCATTCCAGCCAGGTTCTCTACTCCTAAAAGCCATTGCAAAGCGCCTTCCAAGAGCCCTCCAACTTACGAAGTAGAACTCGAAATGCAAGCGTCGGGGCTGCCCAAACTTCGCTTTAAGAAAATTGGGTCTTGCTCAGCGTTGGAAGTTCAGCCTGAAGCAAGTGCCAGCAAACCCAAGGGAGGAGAAAGCCCCTTTGGTGATCCCTGGTGTAGCAAACACCCAGAGAAGCCAGCAGCTGCCTGTGTTTCACCCTCTTGCTTTCGCTCTTTCCACGGTACGCCTGGGAAAGGTGGAGGACAGACCTACATATGTCAGTCTTACACCCCGACAAGCTGTGCCTCTAACACCACCTCTCCATCCCCCTTGGAAGCGGGAGTTCCCTGTACCCCTTCCCCAAAGCAGAAGGGGAAGACCACCCCTGATGCTATCAAGGATTGGCCTCGGAGGAAGAGAGCAGCCAGCAGCACTGCTAATGCTAGTTGTGCTCAAAGTGAAAAAAATACAGATGATATAAAGAGGACGTCAATGGATGGAGAGGGGGAGATGAAGATCCTGGAGCACTACAGCAGCAAAGTGACAAATACGCTTGGGGAATTTGAGCTGGAAGGGGTTTGCAGGCTCCAAGATCAGCCGTCTCCTACTGACTGTGAACCCAGAGCTGAGGAGGCTTCTGCTTTCCGGACTTTTGGCCTGAAATCTCGGAAGCGGGTCTATCCCTGCCTATCCCCAGAAAGGGAGGAGAAGCATGAGGCTAAGAGGTCTTGTACTAATGTGTTCAACTTGGATCTCATTGACTTTCCTCAAGATAGGAGCAAGGAAAGCAAACTGAGGGCGGATGCTGGGGTTCCTGAGAAACCGCGAGCGTGTTCGCTCATAACCCCTGTGCAGAGCAGTTGCACAGGGGATGATGACGTCTTCCTTTTGTCAGGTAATTAAGTGGCACAAGTGACATTTCATTTAAATTCAAAAATGCCTTAAAGTGGGATAGGCAGGAAGCGAGAACACAAGTCGGTTTTTTGTCTGGCTGTATCTGAGGGAGAAGGAGATGGAGGGGAAGAGTGGGTTGTAAATGACAAAGTAATTCTGCCCTATTATCGGGGTGAAGTAGGCAGCTTTCAGATCACATGTGATGAGTCCAGCTATTGGCACGTTAACAATGGTGGGGTAATGGGAGAAACATGAAAGAGCAGGAGCTGGGAGGAATTTACTTTAAAAGCTTGGGCTTGGCTGAGCAATCACTGTTGCATCCAGGGGTAACTTGTCGAAGTGGATGGATGTGAAAAAGGTGCTGCAGTGCATGGGGTGGAAGGCAAACTGTTGCTTGGGGGAGGCTTCTTTCACAATTCACTCCGAGCTTAGACTGAACGATGAATCTGCCTTCTTGCCTGATGCTGCCCACTATTTCTGCCCAGTGTCTGTGCAAAGCTGTATCCAACTGTATGAAGTTTAGAGCCTGGTGCTGTCAAGCTGGGACACCTACATAAGTTGGTCCTATGGATGTTCATGAACACTGACGTTCCAGTCCTTTTATTTGCCAACACAGTAGTGCCAGTTCATGCAATGCAATGGTACAGAAGTGTTTGGCTTGCCAGCCATAACACTGTATGAGCAGGTGTTGAAACTGAAACTGTTATCACTTCTTAATTTTGCTCTGGGTGATCACTGTTGAGTTAGCCCATGGTAAATCAGGCTGTTTCCATTCTTTGAGCAAGGCTTTGTTGATTCCAAAAACTTAATCCAGGCTTGTTTTGAAAACAGAAGTTTACAGCAGAGTAGTTTTAGTCTATAAAGTGTAAAAAGAACTAAGCTTCAAAGTATCTGTTTCTGCTTGCACACCGAGGCTTTTTTTACAGAGGCAGTGTCCTGCTAGAACAGCTGGCATCAGTGGAGGGGAAAAAATAGGCAAACATTCAAGCAACATCAGTCCTTATCCAGGATGTGAAATAATAGTAGTGTTTACCTGTAACACAAGAGGCTTCGCTGCCTACAAACCTCGTCTCTTTTGCAGTTCTGTATTTAACCTAGGACACTGAGTTAGCTGAAAGGTAATGATGTTTTAAATAAGCGAGGTGTTTTTTTTTTTTTTTTTTTTTTTCTGCTAAACTTTTAGTAAAATTGAATGTGCTTGAACTCCCTTGAATTGACTTTCAGACTCCCTTTTATACTCTTTGGTGCCCCGCAAAAGCCACTCTACCCACTTGCATTTTGTTTCAGATGATAAATTCAGAGTATTGATTTTAATGGAAGCTTAAAAGTAGATTAAGGGCCAAGTCTGAAACTTACCTGAAAGTGATGAGTTGTCAGCGTGCTGCAGTATCTTGCTGTGCTTCTGCAGGCTCAACTCCCCCAGTGAAAAACACGCTGTCTGTGAGCAGCCTCCTAGCACTGACCCAGTCTCCACTGCTGTGCCGGGGGCAGACACCGTCCTGGAGAAAAGGTGCTCAAGGTAACAACCCGAGCGGGAGGAAGGGCTGGGCTCGAGCGCCAGCCACCCTAGGCCCTACTGCTCTTGGTGCCCAAAGCCCCTGGTGGATTTGCCACTTCCATATTCAGTGGCAGTGTGTTCAGAAATAGTGAACACACTATTTCACGTGTTTCAGGATGCTTGTTCTGCACAGGGAAGTTCAGTGGGGAGGAGAGGTAGTGCTGAAGAGTAGAACAGGCTACCATAGAGTGCAGTTTACTGCTTCTGTTGCTTCGAATTGATATGGGGCTTTTTGGAGTCACTAAGCAGTACACTTGACAAATCACAGCTTTAACTTCTTTTCTTGTGTTTGTAGAAGAGGAATCAGATCCCTCCCAAGATCCGGCCGGCCCGGAGCTGACTCCATTCAACAGTATGGCTTCTAAGAAGCGTTCCCTTAGCAGGACTTACTCACGGAAAAAGCTGGCTAGCTGAAGTTGGAAGCTGGGACAGGATACTAAAGAAGCTTCCCATCATCTCAGCTGTAGAGTGTGGTTTTTAACGAGGACATTTGATGCTGGACCTGTCTGCGTTGGTGAGAGGCAGGAGGCCAGCGTGTGACAGTGGGTATCGGGACCACTCTAAAACTTTTTAACTTCAGTGGGATCTGTCTCTCCATCCATTCAAAACCTAGCTCAGTCTTTCTGGTACTTCTGTGTGTGATAGCTGGGTTTTGCAATGAAGGTTCAGTTCCATTATGTAAGGGGAACTGTCATGTTCTACCCCTGTCTCGTAAAATAAAATGACCTGAATTTTTATTTTGTGTCACGTGAGCCAGAAGTCCCCCTTGAGCCCAAATAGTGGGCAAGGGATAACAGCTGCAGGAAATGCACTTGTGCACACACCTGGCTGTGTGTTCCTGCTGCTTTGCTCTGACACTAACTCAGTCCCCCTGAGCTGCATCCAGCTTGGCAGCTTAGCAAGAAAATAAGAGGTGTGTTGGGGGAAAATACAAATAAAAAAGACTAATTCTCTGACAGGTTAATCAGCTCACAGGGCTGAGACAACTGTCATATGACAGAAAAGATTATGGAGAAGCAAGGTGACCCCCCCCGAGCTAGCACCAGGGAAGATGAAGAAGGAGACTTTGACCTCTCTTCCCTCTTTTCAAGGATGGGCCAATCTAACCCTTTCCAGGAGCCAGGCCAGGAGCGGGCTGTAAGGGGAGAAGATCCAGCACCACTGCAACTGTTACTGGTGTAGAGTAACTTTGCTGCCCTTCTCTTTTGCAAGCTACAAATGAGCTCACCAGGACTAGGGAAACTTACTTGAGAAGTAAAACATTTCTACAGAATAACTGGAGATGACATTTCAATGATTTTTCTCCTTTCCCCCTTCACCAGTGACTAGATAGTGACTAATTATCTGTGAGATGGGAGCTAGGAAGG